AAAAAAACCCGGGGCTAGTTTCCGCATAAACGAAGATAGAAATATTTTTACAGACAACCAGAGTTCAATAATATACACATGACGAGCTCTTCCTAATGCTTTTTAATGGCTATATATGTATGTGAGGCGTTTGATGAAGGGGCAATTCTCACATCTCTTCCGTCGACAAAGACGAGGCAATAATAGCAGTACTGTTGCTTAAAAGCAAAAAGCTTCTGAACCAACGCACCATATGTTAAACAGAATTTTGTTTGATAAATACATGATCAGTTTGCTTTTTCCAATACACAAAACGCGGAACAAGCCTTTTTAACAATGACTATAAGCCTTTAAAATGCTGTCGATGATAACTGAAAAAAATGAAGCCCTACGTGGACCACATAATTGGGCCTTATCAGTGCCGCTTAGGCTTAGCTAAATCCATCTTCGGTAGATTTTCACAGATGATGAGACTTTTATGTATAACGGCACATAAGTGAAAATATCCTTCCATTCCTCGTCCATGAGTGTACAACGAAATCAATGGAACCCACGAGCAAATGCAAGAACCAAGTGCAGAAGAACCAGTTTCCACTTGGTACGAGAAGCGATAGGCAGGCGTAGTGCTATATTAAAAGAAAACAAAGGATAAATATCTATTTCGGGCTTAAGGAAACCAAAGTCAATGGAGGAAGGTGTGCATTCATCTATGCTTATGTTTAAGTTGCTTATGTTTCAAAAATGTAGCAGGGCACTGGAGCTGGTCTCTACTTGAGGGGACTGCAGACCAAGTCGTCCTTTAATCTTTCCCCAAACGGGAAAGCTACTATCTTTGTCGACAGTAAAGCTTTACAAAGATCTAAAGCGTATCGCTCTGCTGAGTCCCCGAACATACCAAAATTGAAGGGCAAGAGTTGACTGATGAGGTAACCGTCTGGATAACTCTGTACTACCACAGTTAAATGATTACGTTAGATTGTAGAATACGATATAGTCGTTACTAATCACTTGGCACAAGCGGGGAGATTGTAAGATCTCAAGATTATTACAGGCAAAGTTTATTAGGAAAAAGACATAAGGCCTTCTGAAACTTAATAAATCAGTAAGCAGTAAGAGGCCTTATACCATGTTCTGACCGACATCGAAAACATGTTTTCGTTGCTAAAAGTAGTTTCTAGTAATCTGTCAAATGAAAACCAGTTTTCGCTGAAATCTCACGTTCCACTCGTTCCAATCGATGTCTTCACTAGTTTTTTTTCGATTATTTATCGAATGGAAGTCATATTTTATCATCTTTAATACGCTATTTCGTATTTATTGTTAATTGGCCGGCCAAAGTAAAATAAGAATGAAAGTAAGAGGTTGCTAATGAAAAGAAAATGTGGGAAAAGCATTTTGGTTTTGATTTTGTGTAGCAAAACTGCAATGAGAGGATATAAGAAATGTCAACTCACACATTAACAGACGGCTGTTCACAGCCTTCAGGCCACAATTCCAAAACTCGTTTTCAAAGTGTTTTCGTTGTCGGTCAGAACATGGTATTACCAGCATCATCACAGGTCACTGTGTTGCACCAAAGCTCCAACCATGGCGGATACCAACAAGTACTCTACAGAATATTTTGCGATGATAATGAGGAGGTTTCTGTGTCCTGTGCAGGCCCTCAGTCGAAGCGTCTTAAGTACTTGGCATCAACGCTTCTTCAACAGTCTGGCGGAGATAGCGGAGATAGCGGAGGTGGAACTGTTGGATCTCCTCAAATTCATTTGAGATAGCAATTCAACAGGTTATTTTCCATAATTTCTATCTGTATAGGAATCGCGGTCAGGGAAATGTAAAATGGTCGTTTAAAGAGGCCTTTCACAATGTGCAACTACATATGTCTCCGAGTGGAAGTATGGAACATTCCATAAAGGTTTTCATAGCCTAATTTAACAAGCTTCATTTGACAAAGCACAAAGAGGCTGCTTAACCGAGGACAACAAGACCACTGAATAACCAGTCCAATTTAAAGCCGGTATTGCCTGAATTGAACAAATGCAGATAAAATTGGTTCCCCCTGTAGAATGGTTCTAGAATGTTGATCTCTTCCCCTCTACTCTTCCGAATCTACTGGATAAGTTGTTTATATTCGTAAGAGGAGAATGCCATTATATATAGAATCTATTGAGTGTTTCCATATATTTTCTGTGAGACGGAGGATAACTGCAGTCCCTCTCGCAAGGGACCCTGAATCTAAGTGAGTCATATAAGGGACAGATGCCGAACCAAACTAGTTCCAAATTACCATTTCTATAATTTGATTAAACAATGTTATTCATTAATTTTTTTTGTGAACTGAAAGTAAGCTAATTATCGTTGAAGTAAGAAAGGTTCAATGGATATTTTAAGTTGCATTAATATTCAAGACAAATATTAAATTTTGTGTAAAGACAACTAACCGATTGGCGAAATTGTATTCAGAGAAAAGCTAAATAAAATTTTTCCCATTGATTTTTTATATGCTCCGCTCAATCATTGTTCTACACATGCAACTTTCACCCACTTTCACTGATATTCCTTTAATCTCTTATTTGCGTTCTTCTTCACTTCTTCCATTACGGAGCGAACACACATCAAATCAAATACCCAGAGGTTCCATTTCAAATTGCCAGTAAAATGCTGAAGAAATAAATCTTTTCTATTGTGAAAAATAAGAAAAGGAGACATTGCGAGAACTGTTATGGTTATGGATAGACAATCAAGTAAGCAGACAGCTGCAGATAAAGTTGTTGGCGGTGAAGTGTAGAGCGGGTTGGTAAAAATAAATAAATAAAATTAGAAAAAGGTTAAGAAGGTTGAACGACAAAGCGATTTGACAATTTAACTGACTTACGGAATAAGAGTAACTCTTTAAATGCAGAATTGACTGAATTCGTTGGTGCAGAGGCAGTGATTTGCTTGGTATTCTTTTTGAAACAGTATATGTGCATATCATCACCTGAAATGCAAAAAGACGTAACAAACATCATGTAAAAAATCATAACTAATAAAAAATCCAAAATTCACTTTTTGATTTATATAATGGATTTCATGGAATTACAGCTCCCCACATCATTTTATTTTATTTGAAATTCTGCCAATGCCAATTTTTTTTTAGACCCGTTCTACCACCGCTACTACATGACATGAAAAGTAAATGCAACAAATTTTTTTTTGTAGCATCGCATTTTTATCTACGTTAAATATGGTTGTTCGAAACCACTAAAAAACAGAAAACATAATCGATTCCAATATTTCACTCACGCACATAGCTTTTTTACAATAACAAAGACACCGTTATTTTTCCGTCTTCTTTATCAAATATTAAGAATAAAAAGTTTGTTTTTGTAAGTACGGAAAACGAGTTTTTAACACAAAAACTGCACAAATTACCCATAGTGCACTGAAACTGTGCAAATAGTGCTAAAACCTCGATACAACTTTGTGGTAAATATTGTTAAGACTAAAGCAGAGTGAAATTCAAGCGCCAAATATAGTTTAGTTACGAGTTTACTCAATAGATGACATTTTACGATTGTGGCAATCATTTATATTAATTTATGAAGTATTAATGATTGACAGTTTTAAATCCTCTTTTTGTTTTGTTTTTATTTTCTGGATTATGCTACTCATCTAGTTAATGCCTAAGTTGCTGCTTCGCCATTTTATTTTTATCCGCATCGCATATTTATTTATTACTTTATTTCATTTTTTCTTGCACACAAATGTCAACTTTTGACATTAATCAAAAGCGAAAATCTGAAATGGCCATTGACAGGGAAGAGTCAAAGCATTGACATCTAAAAAATCGTTGAATGCAAAAGGTAATTTTTTCAACTGTACAAAGCAAACTTTAACATATTTTGAAGTCGTGTGCTTCCAAAGCAAAGGTTAATAAAACTGTTTTAACTAAAGAAACGTTTTAAAGTATTAAATATACATACACACTTACATACACATATATAAGGTGAGGAAATTCGGGCATTGTAGACCAACTGTAATCAATTAAAAAATAACAAACCAAATAACAAGCTATGCGGCTACTTAATTAAAGTTTCAATTATTAAGCCTGGTTTTCACTATGTCAAATTCAGTGATATTTGTCGTCAAATAAGTGAAAACACATTGCCAAATGGGATCAAAATGCGGTGTATCGATTGATTTGGATCAGGATAGGTCTTTCTGTCTGTCAGTTTTTGGCCCTTAATATCATCGGTGAAGGTATGGATAAAGGAGATAAAGTTTTGGCGTCAAAATATGACATAGTGAAAAGCAGTGAAATACTAGTAGCATCCTACCAGTTGATGAGATAGTCTGCCAATTCATCCCCCATGAAAAGCATTAGTATGCCTTTTTGCTCGCGGCGCTCCAACAGTCGCTATGGCCGACAGAGCAAAGCATTCGCGTGGTATGCCTGAGGTACTACGTTCAAGCCCTGGCGCAGGGAAAATTTTTTTATTTTATTTTTTTTTTATATATTTCTTTTATTTATATTTTTTATTTAGGGTTTTTTTGTTATTCTTAAATTTAATTAAAAAAAAAAATATTTTTTGTATTCTATTTTTTCATGGCACAGGTATTTCTTCCCATATATTTGTTTCTTTTTTTTTTGTAATGCAACTAGATTTTTAAGTGTGTTATTTATATTTAAATTTAAATAATTATTCCTACTTACATTGATCTAACTTTAAAAATCTTAACCACCTCCAAGCGGCCTCGAACCTGCGATCCCAGAACCAGAACCAGTAGTCTTCACGTGACGCCACAGCCGACATTTGTAAGAAAAGCAATTAATTGCGTTTTATTTTAGACTTTGGCAATTCAAAGGCAGATGTCGCTGAACACTTAAGTTCTACGAAAATGTCGAACTGGTAGGCACATACTAGTTTATGAACTAGTATTTTTGCTAACTGGTTTGGGTTTTCACTTCAGGGTAAGTATGTAACTTGATAATGGAAATTGCTGCATCTTTTATGCGCACCATT